GAGCAAAAGCCTCTAAAGAACTGCATTGCGGGTTACTCACCTTGATGGTTTTGTTCTGTAAACGAAGACCATTGAGCGTGTTTATAGCCTTTTCGGCATCTTCAGGCCGGTGATAGTTAACAAAACCATAACCCAAACTCTGACCTGCAAAAATACGCAGATGATTATCATGTGTCGAGGTCAGATTTCTTTAAAAAAAAAAAAAAAAAATACATAAACCGCATCACGTGACCAAAGAATGAGTCGCTTTAGACAGTTCATTGACTTATTCTTGATAATGATTAATTACTTCGGCATTATGAAATTTTGTTCATGTCTATATTTATCTGCCGATTAGAGAGAATAATCGCATCAAAATGGTAGTTGAACGTCCAGTGCCAACTTTAATTTCCCGATATACGTCCCGGAATCAATTTTATGAATGGCGTAGTGGCAAATATATCAACGAGCACTTGGCGAAATGCCTGGAACCGGCAGAACCACGAAAATATACGATTGGATTATTCTTCAAGAAAATAATTTCGTATTTAATTATCTTAACGCCAAAAGACGAAGTTAATTTGATCAATATGGATATTTTAATCAAGTCACTTTGTCAGTTTTCATAATTTAGAACGTAAATTAAATTTAGGAAATCTTCTAACGTAATTTGACGGAATTAAGATGAATTAATTCGCGAGAAAGAGAGAGAGAGAGGGGCGCAGAGGTATAGTAATTGCATTTTCCAGTAAAATGAAGAAAGAAATTGCTCCGAACTGTCACGAACGACGTGATACGGTACTGCCGCGAGATGAGGCCGCGAGCATAAAGCGGCAAATCTTCAAACCAAACGCCGCCCCCGCTCTCGCTCTTCGCGGCGGCGGCGGCGGCGGCTCGAAATAGCGCCGCAACGTCTATACACGTGCTCGTCGCCGCCACTGCACGGAATATACCCGGCGTGCACGTACCCGAATTACGCTGGATTACGCATACATTATGGCGATACGGACGGATTGGCGCCAAATGTAAATGTAAAGTCAGACTTATAAGTCAGAAATGAAATCGCGGGCGTTCGTTATGAAAAACGGAGGAGTTACTCAAGTGTGCTACTTGAGCCCCTCAAAGTAATTTAACTTCACGAGAAAGCAGAGCAAAATTGATTATAATCTAATCGTAGGCTCTAAAATTAGGAAATTTATGAAAAGTGGAATTCTTCAATTTGACTTCTGAAAGGCTTCTGATAAGTTTATGATAAGAAAAAGAAAAAGAGAAAAATTTTTTTTCCAAAAAAAAAAGTCATAAAATTTATTTTCCAATAAAATCATTTTTTGTGAAGTTATTTTTTAATCATTGATTTAACTTTGGCCTAATCACATTAAATTGTTTGACTAAAGCAAATAAAATGTTTAATTTGTCGCTAAGCTGATGTTCACATATCGTAATTTATACATTTTGAAATTAGATTTAGACACTAGCCCTAAAGCAAACGACTTGTTTGACATTTGCCGAATCTCGAATCTAAGCGCTTAATGCGAAAAGAAAGGATAGGAATGCTGATCTTACCGCTGAGCTTATCACGGATTAGCTTGCAGCTCTCGACTTCGCCTATACTGGAGAACAGAGAACGAATCTCATCCTGTGTCATGCTCTGCGGCAAATAGTTTACTATGAGATTCGTCTTTGATTCCTCCTGCGAGGTCTGTCCGAGAGTGGATCCTCCATTTTGTTGTACGACTGTGTCCATTCCGTTCGCCATCATTGCAATCCTCTAATGAGTCGTCCCTAACTATGTACGAAATCTGCGAACAAAATACATACACGTTGCATTACTCTTGTACTAATAAATAATTGCAATTACACAATGATCGATGAGATCCGTATTCGTGTTAAAAATCTCTATTGTTAGAATTAAATACAGTATGAGATTTTTGAATAATTATCACACATCGTGTCAGTCTGCATACACTTTCCTAAGATGTTAAAATAAATTTGAGAAAATTTCACTTTGAAAACACAGCAAATACGAGTTATGTCGCAAGGCGATGGAAGAAACTGGCATCGATGTAAACACGAAATATCGAAGGACGTAAAAACGCGTGGTAACCAAAACAATGATGCACAAGACGATCCTTGACGTTTGAAAGCTAAAGTCCAAGTGGCTTCGGTTTCTTATACCGTAAACTCGAAAGAACAAAAATAAATTAACATTGAGTCTTTTGACTGTAAAAAGTGGCTTTATTGTGGCGTAACGCGAAACTGATACGAATCTGAATTTTACATTTCTAAGAAATATAATTATTATATAAGATATATAAGATATGAGAAAATAAATTTTAATCTACAATTAATTAAAAAACGTTTCTTAGTTCGTTATTAAAAGAAATACTTTATTCATCGCAAGTATACTTTATATTATACGCTAGAAAGATCGATTTAAAATTGCGAATATTGCAGACGAAGAATAAAAAAAAAAAAAAGAAGAATCTGTAATGTTCGCGATTCGATCGTGTAATCCGAACAATGACTTTTCAAACACAGTACGAAAGGGACAAGCGGCGATTGGGAGAACTTTGGGGTAACGTCCGATACGAACTCGAATAATTTAAAGGGGCCGACGACCCCTGTTGTCATTTAAAGGGCTGGAGAGACCCTCTCATCTCCAAACTATGAAGGCACATCGAGTACTGTACAAGCCTATATATGTGGTGTCCAAAGCATGAAAAATAAAGATCTGCGTTTATTAATTATCTCTTAATACCAGGAACTTTTTATAATAAAGTTCAGAGACTTGATTAATAAATTAGTCGACGCGTGAAGCGAGAAGTGAATCGGGCAAGATCGCTAGTTTTCAACAAACATAAATACTACGTTCACCGACACGGAACGTAAAAACAAGAAACGCTACCTGAATTACCCGCTGCACTTCTGGCGTGAATAAATTATGAATGCGATTACAGGCAGATAGTCGACCTCATTACCGACTCTCCAAGTAGAGAGGCAATTAAGTCAGAATTATATGCGTAATTAAAAATGGAGCGACGCTACAAACGACAAAGCTACATTAGTGAGAGAACATCGGGATAAATTTGTTTTTAGCGAAATATACCTATTTGCGGCTTTATTTATTTAAAACAGGACTTTTAATTCCAACTTTTTCCGGTTGTACACTCGATTCTCCACGAGGAAAATTTATGCAAGAAGTACGCGATCGGATTGGCCAAGAGGAAACGTATTCCTGAATACGAGATTAGGAATGATCCGGCGAACTCTTTCGCGCGGAACACCCGGTACACGCGCGGAGCGTAAAGGGAGAAACAAGAGCGAAAGAGGCAGAGCGAGGAAGAGGAATTATGTGTGGCCGCCGCTACCGTAGGGTGCCACCGCGGTGTTCACGGTTACGGTAGGCGAGTACACACACACACAGCTGCGATGACGCATTTATCAGTCGGCACGAGCCACCGACTCGTACATTTTTCTTCTCTCTCACTCTTTTTTTTTTTACGTAGACTCCCCTCTCGCCACACGCGTTCATTCTCCGATCTCTCTCTCTCTCTCTCTCTCTCTCTCTCTCTCTCTCTCTCTCTCTCTCTCTCTCTCTCTCTCTCTCTCTCTCTCTCTCTCTCTCTCTCTCTCTCTCTCTCTCTCTCTCTCTCTCTCCTTTCCCTTCTTTACGGTTTAGAGCATCAGCTGTCCTTTAGGGCCTTCCCTGCGTGACCCCCCTGCACGCCGCCGCCACTCTCGTGGTGGTCGCCACCCTAAAAATCGAACTGTCCGCGATGCCCGCGGGGTAACAGACAGCTTTTATTACGGCCGGCCCTCGAGCTTCCGAGACGGACTGGTCGGTGCGTCCGGCCGTCGTGTATTGAAAAATATACGTGCGATTGCACAGGACAGTGATACGTCATATTTCCCTTGCTCGTGACACACATTGAATGCAATGGTGATTAGCGCGCGATCGGACCTCCTTAATTTACGTGTACGTTAGATCGAGCGATACATTTACGTTACGAGGGTTAGACGCACTCCGTCCGATATGAGATAGATACGAGGGCCGACGCACATGTGCGACAAATGGCACATGTTTTTCGCACGTCGTTTTTTTCATCAACTCTGAAAGGTAAACGGTTCGATGTGCCAAGACCGATCATCATTCCTTAAATTCTCGGCGGTATTTCAAACAATTTAGTTTTTAAGCGAGAATCATAAATGGATAAATCTTGCAGAGTAAGGCTCATATTTAAAAACAGAGAAAAGATTGATAAATGCATCTATTTTTACTCGGCAGAAGATCCTGTCTTGCTCGAACAAACATTAAATTTTGGCAAAGATTAAGCACAATGCACAATGAACGCCAGTATAAGATAGAGCTATACTTGTGTCTAGTGTGCGTTACACGTTCCATCTTTATTCCTAATTTTAACTTCCAAAATTTATTAATTTATTTAATATTAATATTAAATTTATAATATTTACTCCTCATATCTCTTTCATTCATGTGCGCGCGATCTTTTAATATCCAAAACGAAACAAGCTCGAAATAGAGCACACATGGATGAAATATCACAGATAAAAAAATCGAGGCTGGATTTCATTCCATTTCCACGGTGACGAATCTACTTTCGAAAAAGAAAGCGTGAAAATACGCAAAAATCGAAAGAGAGAGAAAAAGGATAGCCGCTGATTATTCCCTCGTGTCCCCTTTGTTTACGAACGCAAGGCGATAAAAGCGCCGCTCGCAGGAGGCAGAAAAGTCGCGGTGCGCTTTATCGCAGCCCGGCAATCTTCCTCGGTATCGATCTGCGTGTAGCGTTGTTCGCCATCGCGATATATTTTCGGATCTGACAATGCCGAAGGCGGGAGAGAATCACCATCGTGGCCGAGCTGACTGACATCGTCGCGCGAAGGGAAAGCATATCGCTCTGACTTTCGAATCCTCCGTTTCATTGTCATCACAAGGATAACAACAGAACACAGGACGCGTGCACGTCGAGGAAGAACAGTGGGAAGGGGGATGATCGAATGGGATGGAGCGACCCTTGACAAAACTTCAAACATAACGGAGGATGTCCTTATCCAATAAGAGATTAAAAATTTCACTAATGAAAGAAATTGTTGATAAAAAAAAAAACCTTCATTTTTTTTATGATTTAATTTGGAATTTAATAATGTTGGAATATAATAATTCGGAATGGTCTGAAAAAAGATTCAGATTCGCACGAGGCTGTTACGTTCGCTCTAATGTCTTCGTATAAACTTTTTCACATTTATGGAATTCGATTGATTTTCTTAGATAAAAATGATCGGGCTAAATCGTGGTCTCTTAGATTAATTTGTCGTATGACAAAATTAAATATCATCGTGATTCGTTACAAAAGAGAACAATTTTGAAATAATTTAATAATAATTGGTTTGGATGGTCGACAGAGCGGTACTCAAATCTGTATAGATCTAGCATTGAGAGGGTGTTACGTACATTATACATTCGAATTAAGTGCATTTTGAATTGATGATAAATGGGAATGATATATGTACGTGTAGAATGGATGTTATATGATTTCGCAAGTTTAATAAGTTTATAGATAATCAAGATAATATACTTATAAACGTAATTTTCGCGAATTAAAGTACAAAAGAGAGAGAAAGAGAAAAACAGATATTCGATGAGTTATTTCGAAACAGCCCGGGACTGACTATCGATCTGGCGAAATCGATAGAACGGAAATACCGCTTTATTCTGGTAAAATGCTAACTCTGTTATTTTAATTTAGCGATGCATATGTGTCACAAGGTAGCAACGCTTAATTGTTTTCAATTATCATACAAAATTTCACATTTTCCCTGCTCGAGATCTCGAAATTACATTTCCCATTTCAATATCGCTACATAATTCAAGTCTAACAATTACGAAAGTATAATCGTCGATTTCCGGCGATCCGAATTTGAGAAGAGAAACGCGCTTGATGAACCATCGGAATTGTCAATTTCGAGAACGGGAAAAAACTGGAGAAAAAAGCTTTCTTCGCAAGAAGAGAATCGGGAATGCTGCGGGAATGTGTGTTAAACGGCCCAACGAGCAATCGGGCCTGGTCGACGGTGATTTCGCGGGTTAAAGTTCGATTTACACGTATATGTCGCGAGATACGATCTTCGGTCGGTGGCCAGGTGGCCATGGCGACGGATCGTGAAAATCGCGTGGCCGGGGCCGATCAATACGAGCTCCTCGGTCCCTGTGTGCCTCACGCTCTCTCGCTCGCTCGCCCAACGCTCCGTGAGAGCCCCCGTCCCTGTCGTCGCACCGCCGCCCCTGCGCGGTGTTTCCGAGGGAGACCCCCTCCCGCGCGTATGCCCCTTCGACGCGCGAAAAAGTGGCTCGCATCTACGCGTATACGCAAGTACGTGCGCGCATGTAAACGCAACAGGGGAGGGAGGGAGTGAAGTAAAGCGCGCGCGCGCGCGCGAGAGAGAGAGAGAGAGAGAGAGAGAGAGACGAGACGCAGTCGTCGAAAGAACGCGACGCGCGAATTACGCACGTATACATGTATGGACGGACAGACGGACCGAGAGGGTCGGGAAGAAAGGCGACGAAAGACGCGGTGACACGTGCTCTCGAGACGCGTCGGAAACGCGAGGCGGCGACGACGACGACGGTGGAGGCGACAAGTGCGCGTCAGCCTTATCTCTTTCCGCCCCTATCGGCGGAATCGACTGTGTTCCCTTCTCTCTCTCTCTCTCTCTCTCTCTCTCTCTATTCGCCGAATCGATTCACTCCGCCGGGAGTCCTCCTGGCATGCTCTTCTCCTTTCTCGCTCGCGCTCCCGCGACACCCCCCCATCCATCCGAACGCCGAACTTTACGCAACGACATGGATTATTTGCTTTTCTGAGATACCTGTTACTTTCTTCTCCGTTATCTCCCCTTTGCCCTTCTCTTCCCGAGTGTGCCTATCACTCCTCTGCCTGTGTGTCGCACGCGAAACCGAGCACCGTGCGAGCGGTCAGCCCCCTCGCGCGAGCCTCCGCCTCCGGCTCCCTACGTTTTACACCGCTCTCACCTTCGCTAATGTGCACTGTTATCACGCTACTGCTCTCGCACCACCGCCCGGAACAGAAGGGGAAATCAATGAAAGTAAAGTACGACGCGAGCGCTCGTAAACCGGCATTTATGCACACCGCCTGACCACCGTCCTCGGTGCACTTGGTGACGACGAGCGACGGTCGCGTATCGACATCGAACACGGCGGTGGCTGGTGATTTCGGTAGAGACTCGAAGACACGAAGGGAGAACGAGAGCGTGAGGGTGGTGGTGGGAGAGGAGGTGGCGGGCCGAGGGAGGAGAGAACGACGAACACAGAACGGCCCGGTGAGAGAGGGTACACAGCGATTTTTGTGCGGGTGATGTACACGCGCGCAAGGTATGCGACGATACGGCGGGACGGAAAAAGGGATACGGAAGGGTTCGCGATATCGAGAGAGAAATTAAAGCTTGAAACACTAGACTAAGAAAACGGAAAGAACAACACGACACGGGCGGAGGCTGCCTAGAGACTGAGCGCCTCGCACGTCTCGAAGCGGCTTCCGATCACTCGGCCTTCCGCGGCTCGCAGCCATTCGGCCATCCTCGGCCGGCCTCGGCTGCCCTCGGGCGCGCTCGGGCCCACGCTCGACTCGCGCGCTCGCGCAAACCGTTCGCCGACGCCACGCCACGCCACGCCGCGCCGCGCCAGCGTAACGCGAACCCCTTCTTCGTACACACACGTTCGTGATTCGCCCTGGCACACACGCACAGGAACTGCGCGCGCGGAGGGGGGGAAAAGCTCGCCGATCGAAGTTACATGCTAATAAGCTAGGGATACGCGTACACCCCCGAAATTTGCAAATCACTCGGACTTATCGATCGACCGAGCTGGACGAGGAAAATCGGGTCTGACGCGATCTCGATTCGTTTTTCGCGAGTATCCGCGCATCCCTGTTTAATAATAACTCGCGCGCGGATACATCATCGAAGTAACTCACTTGCTTGCACACGGAACTGGCGGTTTTCGGCGAATCGATTGAATCACCGAAACGAGTTCCGTAGGAAATATCGCATTTTCCCGGATGCAACTTAATTTACAGACAGAAAGAAACAGGACAAATATAAGATGTGAAATTCCTAACAAGGAGAACAGAATTTATCAATTAATGCGGTCGATGAATGTCATACGTAAGAGGCGATGCGTACACGATTGAAAATAGAAGTTGGACATATTCGCTAATAAGTCAAGAATATATTATATTATGTGATAATAACGCGAAAATACAACTCTCGATTACGGTTAACCTGTAATTATCGATCACACAATTTTTGCTCAAAGAATTTGAAGAGCGTCAACTCGAGAGATGATGAAGAGTCGCTGTAAAAGAGATCGGAAGTACTGACGCAAGAAGCGTCGAAAAGGACCGCTGCAGGAAGTCAGGAGCGCTGGAGGCTGCAGAGAGTCGCTGCAGGAAAATTGTGAGCGCAAAAGTGGCGGGGAGTTTTTGTAAAAAATCTAGGGCGCGCTTTTTCCCTTTTTAAATAACATAAATGCTCCAAAAAGCCCACTAAATGTGTAGCGTCTTTCTCTCCCCTTGTGGGAGTATTGTCCAAAAGCTCCGAAAAGCCCGCGATCGCTCCGAAGAGCCCACTTTTGTAATCATTCCGAAGAGTCCATTTTTGTAACCGTAACACTTCTTTTCCGAAAAATTCAAAAGAAAGTTCACTTATAACTTAATACTGAAATCACTTAAGTTAAAATAATTGTCGCGGTAAAATCTTGAAAAATTAAGTGATAATTGAAAAATTAAGAATATTGCAAATTTCATTACACGTTTGTACAGAACGAGAGTAATCTGGGGGATAAACGGATCAATAAAATAAAAAAAAAAATATTTTAAATTCATATTACCAAGCGAGATGCCCCTTAACAACAAGCAATGTACAGCTGGGAAAGAAATGTCCAGTCATGCCTTTTTTAAAATTTTTTTAAAGAATATGTATGTCAACGTAGAAATTAAGAAAATTTTTTTTATCGCGTGAAGAAAATCTATGTTCAATTGCGAATCTTTCCGATTCAGTTTCATCAACCTAGTTCTACGTAAAGGGAAGATGTGTACTTGAAATCTCAAGTTGCGTTACCCCTCGGCACCGTAACCGGCTCTTCAAGGTTTTTGACCCTCGACTCACTACCATATCGTATCGAGATAAGGGTCTCCCTCTCGCCTCTTATATTATGTCCGTATTCGATCGCAACTTCGCGGAAAACCGCAACCTACACCGTCTATAAAAAAGAATCATTCGTTATATATACACACACTGGAAGATGTGTCAGGAGTTCTATTTGAAAATATCATTTTAACTGCAGAATTAGCGATATATTCGTCTTTTATATAAATATATTTTAGAAAGTTATATAATTAGAGGAAAAGATATGAGATTGTCAACTGATGATGATAATCAGCTTTAACTGGTGAGCTTTGCGCGAGCGAGAAATTCTAACAATGTAACGTTTCCAGCTGCAGCCAAAATTGAAATTGAGATTTTAATCGACATCCCGTTCGTGCATTTCGCGAGAATCGCCACTTGTCTCGCGGCGTACGAGGCGCATAATCGCAGGAAACGAATCGAAGTAGCTGCATCCCTGACCTTAACGCGGAGTTTATACTCGGAGATCGAGCCGACCGGTCTCCTCCGACGATGTTACAGACCGAAATTATACAGCTCTGACGAAACGGGCCGAGTAAAACTTGGCTGCCGTGCCAAGTAAACTCGGTGTTTTTCGAAAATTTATTTCCGTTGCTGCGTGCGCCACGCAAGTAACGCGGCGTCGACGACGGGGTGACGTGAAATGATGGAATAAGAAAGATGTATTTCGTTGAATCGTTCCGCAACCACAACGCAGGAGAATTCGAGAACGGTGAAATCAATATAATTGAGCGAGTGCTCGTTCAGCGACTACGATTCATCTTAAATGGACTTGCGAATGAGTGAATAAAAAATCCTTTCGGATCTGTCTGGCATTCGCGTAACGTGATGTCACGGAGAAGGAAAAAAAATTGCACGGATTGCACCCATGACCATACCTAATGCCAAGCACGTCGCTGCCTATTGGAGAATCTATAACGTTTGGTCAAGGTAGAGAACAAAAGAGAGAATAAAGTTTAGAATAGGGCACGGCTGCTAACAGATGCGGGGCGGCATATGCAGAAAAGAAGTGACGTACACGTGTGTGTGTGTGTGTGTGTGTGTGTGTGTGTGCGCGCGCGCGCGCGCGCGCGCGCGCGCGCGTACCGCACGTACACGTATTTTTACTCGCATGCAAATCTCCCCTCCTCTTAAAATCAAGCGTCTCTTTTTTAAGCTTACAACTATCCGAACGGGGTGACCTGGGAAGAATTTAATCCTGTCGCGGTGGCTATTAATAATTATCAAACGCACGGAGTAACATTTGGCTTTCAAATTCTTTTTGGATAATATTTTTTGTATCCAAAGTAAAAGTGAAAATATTGACTGAGTGACGCTCACTCGAATTCATTGATCCGGAAATCTTCCTACGTCTGCGTGTTATGATAAACTTTGTGTGAAGTTAATAAAGCGCTAAGTGTATAAACATTAAGTACACGTGCGCGCGCGCCAAATGTCAGGATTATTTTGCAAGATTCTCTAAAAAGTGCAAATACGTCGGTCACGTGGCGAATTTGTGAATCATTCTTACCGACAAACGCAGACCTCACCCTTCATAGTTTAGTCACAATCCAGCTGTCGAAGCTACGTTTTTGGGGGTAGGTCCCCGGTCAGGCCGGCATCATCGGTCTGGCACGGCAAGCACGAGCGCAATTCCACGAGGTTATACCTTGGGAACGATAATTCTATGGTAACTTTTTCTGGGGTCATCGAACTCTTAACGAGATTCCGTCGATATTCCCGACTCGAAATCGATTTGGCCTTACACCGACGGGGAGCGAAGCGCAAAGTTATTTAGAAGTACCGAGAACACTATTATAAACATAGCATAACGTGAAATATTTGTTGATTTAATAACAAGACAGTTTAACTTCTATTTCTGTAGATAATATAATTACATTCCTGAAGAAATATCTACATATAATTGATATTCCAAACAATGGAAAATCTTATTTGTGAAACTTATCACAAAAGCGATAGAATTTTGCGCCGTTCAAAAAATTCATGAACGACCATTGTGAATCATTAATGATTGTTTAGTCGCACGATATCGATTATGATTAAAAATATAAATATTATGTCTACAGACGATGTGTAAAAGGAAAATAAAGGCTGATTTTTTTCATGATTAAATGTGACATTAAGTTGTAACATGTTAAATTGGCGTTAGCGAAAGCAGACGAGCGATTATCGTTACAACCAACGATGAAGTTTTGATGTCGACGATTATGGATGAGCGAAAGTATCTAGGGATATCGTATAAGTTCCGTAACGGTCTGTTAAGCACGTTGAAGCCGAGAACAGATTTGTCTAGTTTTAACTTTAACTTTTTCCTCATGCCACTTTTTTATTAGTCTGCATAAAAATATACTTAAATAATCAGCAGTTTCAGAACATAATCACCTTCATTTACGATATATCAATATATAAATGTAAATTATTTCTAACTTCGAGATTGAAGCTTGAGAATCGTTTTTCTAGTTAGAAATTCTAGTTAGAATCATTGTTGCTCGAAGTCCATGGTTAGGCGAGCGATTTTTTTTTTTTTTTTTCAAAGAAGATTCATATGCGGTAATGTCGCGCAAAGGTTACACGTGATCAATTCCTCGCCCATTTTCTCGTACGAGAAAAATTGTCAGTAAAGTATAGAGTTTCTAAGTTTAAATTTTCAATGTGTTGAAAATTGATTTTCAAAACACTCTCGCTCCAACAATTAGCGATCATAATCGGACTTGACTTAACAATAATTACGCAAAATTTCAATTTCACTTTAATTAAATTAAAATTAATATGTGTTATTTTCCATAAAGGAAAATCTCTTGTCGGAAATAATTAAACGATGAAAATTAAATTTTGTTTTTTCTCTGCATATTCCTACGCAATACGAAATTCCCGAAGTATAATTAAATTCGGCATATAATCAAGTCAGAAGTAATAAATTCATTTTCCAATAATCGCTCAAAAACTCGACAAGCAGATTTTAAGCGATTGTCCGTGATATATCTGTTATATATTTCCTTTATATATTTTAAGTTACGATTACGTGGTCATCTACGACGTATTATAGCGTATCACAGACGTATGTATACACGTAATGCATATATTACGAGTGCGTACGTGCGCGTCTCTGCAAGGCGATCATATTATATACACGATGTAGGAAAAGAGAAGCGAGAGAAAGAGAGAGAGAGAGAGAGAGAGAGAGAGAGAGAGAAGGCGCGGAGAAGCTCCATTGATTGGTCGGCGTGGTGAAACGTTGCAGCTATCCGTGGGGTATATCGAACCCGATATATACGCTTCTCTCT